ATAAAATTCTATTATATATAAAGAATAATAATCTATAAAAAAAAATAATATAAAAATCCTTTATATATTTCTTACCTATCTCAGAATGATCACCATAATAGAATATTTTGAAAGGATTACGTTAAATCAGATATGGAATTAAATAAATATTGTATAAAAATGGAAAAAGAATATTTTAGAAAAAAATAAGGATAAAAGGATTAAAAGTGATTTTATTCATTTATTCTTATATTTGAAATTTTACTAACCGAAATATGAGAAATATCCAACTACATAATAGTCTGTAAATATTCATCAATATTTTTGATCTAAACGTCAATAATGGACACATTATTGTTAATGATAAAAAAAAAAAAAAGAAAAAAAATAAACAAAAAATTATGAGAGAAAATATAAGCAAGTAACATTTATCATGAATGACAGACAAAAGATTCACCATGACGTGCTTATCTTATTCACCTTTCGTAAAATAATATTCACGAATTTGATGTCTATCTTATTCCCAAGACCCCTTTACCCCTTCTACCTTTTCTTTTTTTTTTTTGAATTTGTGTTTACTGTGAAAACAAACCTTCAACTGCACACAACTAAATTCTTTCAAGTTTATTATTCTCGTATAAAACTGATCATCTAAAGATAGAAATATCTCGACGAAAGATTTTACATAAGAAATGATTGAAAAGATTTTGATTATTTTTGAAATAAATGTTAATTAATAATTGATGATAGCATTAAATCACCACACTGTGACTTAAAATAATGTAAAATTGTAATACATGAGTAAAAATAATTTCACTTTGATAAATTATTAGAAATATAATATTATTAATTCGATGACAACATATTTAACGATAATAATATTTAGAATTTTTTTTTTTTTCTAATAATAAATTGACAAAGGTTATTTATTATATTTACAGAATGATGTTATATTTACGAAAATACGACATTACTGTTATAGAAGGACGAAAAACAAAAATAAATCGGTTACCGGATTAACTTCGATCAATATTCATATTCGAAATTATCGATAAATATTAATTTATGATGTTCATTAATTTTTTGTTTTGTTTTATTAACGTTTGTACAGTATGAAGAAAAGAAAATACTCATAACGGTACCAACAACTTTTGTACTTTTTTTTTTTTTTTTTTACTTCGATAATGCATTATCTATTTATCTTAACGATAATCGATAAGCAATTACAGTTATAACCATTTGAAAAAGCATAGTTAAATGATCTCTTTGTTTAAATAAATACCTTTGTTTATATATGCCAGTACTTCTCAAAGTTTTCCCTTTTGTCGATCCTTTTTAACTCGAACAAATATTTTCACGACCCTGAATGTAGTAGAATTCTATGCTATCTTTTCTCAACACTGTCACATTAACTCACAGACAATGCTACACGTGTTGCTATACCAAATTGATTTTGAATAAATTTATCAAACTTTATTTTTTCTTTTTTTAAATGTTTCAGACCCCATACTGAGTTAGTCGACACATGTTCTTAGAATTCTTGATTTATAGAATTTCTTCAAAAATAACCTTGGAAATGATCAAGACGAATAAGGAACAAGAAATAGAACAAGTTTTATTATTATATTAATTAATTTATATTATATTAATATAAGAACAATAAAACAATTTATAAATCGTTATAAGAAAGTTTATTATTTTTATTTTTATAAGTATTGTTTATAAGTAAATTATGCAATTATAAATTTGAACAATAAGAAATCTTTTGGGTTTTTTTTTTTTTTCTAAATCTGTTTCTAACTGTAAACTTTCTTATTGATCACGTTAGAGAATATAAACTTTGTATTACGAATATAACGTGACAATTTACAAAAAAAAAAAAAAAAAGGAAAAAATGAAACAATATTTTATACATAAAAATTGTTTATAGAATATTGTAGATTAATTGAAAAGTTTTATAATATTTTACTTTTCTTTTTTCCTTTTATTTTACAAAAAAAAAAAATAATAATAATAAATTTCATTTCTTCTTTATGATAAACAATTAATTTTCAAAATTTTATACAATCATTTAGAACACTTGAGATAAGAAACGAGAATAATAAAAATTTTCCCCTTTCGTTTGGTTTTTTTTTTTTTATTTCAGTGTACAACGTCAAATAATTATTAATATAAAATATGGCACAAGATTTATTTATTTATTTCTTTTGTACTATTTATATTATTATCTAGTATACGTATTTAATTTCATTCGTTGGATAAAAAGATTGTACAAAATTTGTTGTTAAATAAAAAAAGGGGAATATATTTAAAACACATATACTAAGACAATTTTTCATAATTATATCTCTACCAGGAGATATTTATTATTTATTATTTTTTTCTGTCTTTAATTATCTTATATCTCATTTGTTTATAATGTACAATAGAAATAATTTTTTCATTACAACTATAAATAAGCAACGATAAATGGTTTCATTTAAAACCATTTATTACATTCTGTCTTTTTTTCTCTCTCTCCTGTTAACACTATTTATATTTTGTTTGTAATATTTCTAAATTATAAATATGCATTTAATATAACATTTGGAATTATCACATTTGCGTATTACAATTATAGCCTTAGGAAAACTTAGAATTTACATTTATGTCAGTACGAAGTAAAATATTGAATACAATGGTCTTTAATATTAAACATTATGGATAAATGAACTTTTTGGTTGGAGAAAAAAAATGAATGTATAAAGCCGTACAATTACCAAAACGACTAATTCTCACGATTTTGTATTTTTTTTCAGTTTTTTTTTTTCGTTTTTCAGTTTTTTTTTCTTTTTTCTTTTTTTTTCTTTTTTTTTCTTTTTTTTTTCTTTTTTTTTTCTTTTTATTCAATTTACTAATAGAACACTTGAAATACTCATAATTTACAAAATTATGCCACATTTTTTAATGCTTTATACATTTTTCCTTATCTCGACAACATTAGCTCTTACATATTAAGTATAATTAATTTTCAATAAAAAAAAAAACTAATTATTAACCCTTTGCACTCGGCTGTCCCCTCTGAGGTGACATGAAAGTTTATTAGCGATTACGAAAAATGAACTTGTTCCATCGCAATTTTTTAAGAAACAAGTGTTTTCCTGTAGTTTTCTATTAAAATGGCACAAAAGATAATAAAAATGATAATAATAAGAAATATATATATTTGTGAAACATGTACAAATCAACCTGCTATTCATATTGGGAATTGTTTCGGACTTTACTATACTGTAGAAGATTATAAAAAATAAATTTTTATTTTTTTTTGTAAATATGTGTTCTTCAATGTTCACAGATATTATATATATATATATAAACTAAATTTCATTACAATTCCTTACTTGGTTATAAAATTGTACTGTATAATATCACGTTTCCAGGGTGTACGTTTTCGCAAAAAAGTGGCGTTGAGTTGCTGGTAGGTAACGTTGGAAACAGTGCCGAGTGCAAAGGTTTAAATAAACGCAATCTAAACTTACGTAGAAAAAATTAAACAATTAATCCTAACCTATCTTTTTTTTGTGTGTGGAATAAACTAACCAATTTTGGAAATGGACGGCTTGTATTACAATACATATAAACAATTTGAGATATTAATATAAATATATTATTAAATAATAGTTGTGTTGAAAAAATTAAACTATTTTTTGGTCACATTTAGCTAAATCAATTATTTAATAATTAGCATTAATATCTTCCGACATTAATTATAATTAATAAGTAATTCATTGCTATTTTTAATTATTAATAATTAAAATAATCAAAAAGATTACCCACTCTATTCAAAAAATTAATAATAATTAAAAATGAATAAAAAAATATCTACCATATAGATAGTTGATCACAAAAAAAAAATAGTATTTTTTAAATATTAAAAAGACAGTAATATATTTAAATTAAAATAATAATAATTAAAAATAAAGACAGAAAAATATAAAAGGTATTACAATGTGACAACTGTAAAAAGAATATAAAAAAAAAAATATTTTAACGTCAAGTATTTAATATATATTTAACTTAATGTCAATCTTATTAAGATGTCTCAAAAAATTTATTTTTTTCTCTTAAATAAATTTCTTCTTTTTTTTTTAATAAAATAAAAAAATGTAAACAGAGAACAAATTTAAGAGAAAAGAATAAATATTATTTCAAATATAATCTTATTTTATTATTTCACTAAATTGTAATTTTATTTATGAAAAAAAAAATTAAGAAAAACAAAATGTTATAATAAATGTCGGAAATGGGACTAGAAATTGGCCTTGGTCCAGGTTTGAACAAACAAAAATCGCGCGCCGCCAGATAAAGCGCACCATAGATTCGAGCGCCGCCCTACAGTACAAACACTAAAAATCGGCGCCGACGTGAACGTGTTAATGGTAATTAATAATTGTATTTCGTGGAAAATACTGAAGATGAATTTGGTCTGCTAGTCGTTGTGATGATGATGATGCTAGTTTTGTTGGATGGTTTTGACTTATTTGCTTTTTTTTTTTTTATATAACGTTCATTTTCAAATGAAAATTCAACATGATTTATAGTATTGCGTATTGGGATTGGGGTTGGGGTTGAGGTTGGGGTTGGGGTTGGGGTTGGGGATAGTTTTGGATAAGAGGAGGAGCAGGATAATAGTTATTAACTTGAGTGTTCAAATTCTGATTGTTTACATAATAGTTACCAATATTCACATTTTGTAACTGACCATCATTAGGCATAAAATTATAAAATTGCACTTCATTGTAATTATGTGGTCTAGCATATGATGACGCATCTGCTGAATAATGGATTCGTTGTATAGGTTGATAATATTTTTGATCATAATAATTATTATCTGAAGTTGGTGGAGGAGCAGGAGGTGGTGCTTGAAAAGGAACATTATTGCTGCAACAAGGAGGCGGCGGGGGGGGATTGTATGTAACTACCGTTTTTACCTTTTTCTTCCTTCTTGGTTGATATTTATAATTTGGGTTTGCTTTCAAAAGAGCATCCCTTATTCTTCTAGATTTGTCGACATAAGGTTGCTTCTGATCTGCGGTTAAATCATGCCACTCGGTTCCAAGAATTTTCGATATCTCAGAATTATGCATTTTTGGATGCTGCATTGATATTTCCTTTCGTCTTTGTTGCGAAAATACAAGGAATGGGTTCATTGGTCTTTTAATAGGACCTTTTATTTCGACTTTATCCATTACCTGTTTCATGCCTAGTAATTCACTTTGGCTCACTTCTTGCACAGACTTCGAGGACATAGCAGAAATTAATTCAAATGTTAGGTCTTGACTGTTCATGATGATATTTGTCCTACTGTTGGGAAAAACAAAACCAAAAAAAAACCAAATAAACTTTCTTCCGAATAAACTCCAATCAAATTAATATCGTTAATCACAAATTATATAAAAATTATACACCACACTAAAAAATATAAAAATGAAAAAAAAAACGAAAAAAAAAAATATATATAAAATAACCTTTTTTTCTTTTTTAAACAATAAAAATAATTATTATAATAATATAATAAATAATATTTAAATTATTTATCAATACATTTATCTCTAATAATCTATCACTGACAACATTCGACCATTCTCGTCTGAAGAACCGGAGACGACTAAACGTACCTACGATTTGCTGTCCGAGGATCTTTCGTGTCTCACTCTTCCTTTCAATATGTTCCCATTCTCTCGGGTAGACGTATATAGCAAAAGATCCCCTTCTTCATCCATTTTTCCCTCTCTCTTTCTCTGGGAACCTTTTGGAGGGCGGAACCTTTGCGTTGGCAGGTTCGAATAGGCCAGCCCACCAACAACCCTCATCTTGCTATTCGTTCTTGTATAACCCTCTCTGACTATTCGAGGCGTTCTTCCACGATACGTGTGCCTTTTCTTTCTACCGTATCCCAACACAAACACTCTTTTTACCTAAAGCAAGATTCCCAACTCTGCATCCTGGCCGTTAGTTGTAGGGCCGTTCCAAAAGGAGATGGAGGATAGAGTGAGGGAAAGAGAAAGAGAGTTGTACCTCTCCTTTACTCTACGATACCACGAGCTGCAATTATTATTATCGATTACCTCGATACGACCAAGTACAAATAGCGTATAGACCAGCCGTTATCGACTGGCACCGTTCGCCTAGCAGCGCAGGGGAAACACCGCGACGTGATATCGCGCGATAATTGGTCACGGCTCCTCCCCTACCATCCTCACCCACCCACTCACCCTTTTCTGTCGACACCTCGAAACCCTTCCTTCTCCTCCTCCTCCTCCTCCTCCTCCTCCATCTCTAGCCCTTACCATGTATATTCTATTATTGCTACGAGTCTCTTTGATTTCTGTTAGCAACGATTAGGTTCTTTCCCTTATTTGTCATATGTTCAACACTTTATTTATACCAAAATTTATCCAATAACAAATCTATGATCATGATAATCATTCATTAATATTAATTTTAGATCGATAAAGAACAAAATTTAGAAATATAAAAAGATAAAACGTGTAAAAAAAACGTTTACGATTCTTGCTGTCTCTAGCAAGAAGCTTTTTAGCTTGTTCGAGTAATCAATCAGGGTCTATCACGAGATTTCGTATCTCGGCTGAATCTCCCCTACCTGTCCCTACCCCCGGGTTCTTTCGTTAAAACAATAGACGTCGAAATCTGCCGTTTGCCTTTCCTATGGGAAATCTGACATACAATGGGGAGAGAGAGAGAGAGAAAAAGAAAAGAATTTCTCTCGACGACAGGCACTTGGATTAGAATGAACAGCGGCTAAAGGAACGAGATGAACTTTGCCTCCTTTCCCCTCCCTCCTACTCCAAGAACCATCCCCTCCAATCTCGGCCTTCCTCATGCCCTTCCAAATCCCTTAGGACATTCGACAATACTACCGAATATAAAGATTGTCTTTCTCTCTCTCTCTTTTTTTATCCTCATCCATGATCAGTATTAGTTTTCTGAATGTAGTTGTACCATTCGTGCCCTTAGGAAAGCATTCCTTACCCTTTTCAAATAAATTACGTTTTATACGTCTGTCAATGCGTGTTCTCGCATTTAGAAGCATTTAGGTGGTATTTAGAGTCCCTCTCTTTCTCTCTCTCTCTCTCTCTCTCTCTCTCTCTCTTTCTCTGGTATATTTTAAGCTACAGAAAAATAGATGAACTTGCCGATAGTATAAATGGTAAGAAAGGAAAATGAAGAAAGGTAGGAAGAAGGAACGTAAAATGAAATAAATTTTTATCTGGAAAAAAAGGCTCTGTATAAGTACCAAATTTATTTTAATAACTGTGAAAATCAATTGAAAAAAAAACTTTTACCAATTTCTGTATGAAATTATGTATTCGTTCAATACCTGACAGGTTAAGGATGACGTTTTCTTTCTTTTTTTTTTATAAGTCATGCAACACGATTAAGATTGAAAAAGATTAGTTCATATTTATGGAAGCCGAAAGATATCCGATAGAAATGGATGAAGAATGGAATTTGTTTCGGAAATTGAATACAAAAAAAAGATGAAAATAAAACCGAAAAAGGTAGAAAACAAAAAGCGGTTACTTTGACAATTTTTCTGACTTTCCGAACCAGCAAATCGTTTTAAATGTGACAAGCAATACGAGAATAAGAAAAATAAATTATCATTTATAATTTATGCTTATTCACGTTGAAGATCTTGGACTCTAAACGTAACGCGATTGGTCAAATAATCGTTTTTAAAATTCCATTCGAAATTCTGTATTTATTTTTTACGTTTTGTTCTATGTAAAATTGACGATTAAATATTGCAAGATTTTTTTTTTGAATAAAATTGTTACACTTAATTTTCTCAAAAAAAAAAATTAAATTAAATTAAAAAAAATAAAATTAGGTATATTAAGGTTAGGTTAAAAGATGTTATCCACGAAAGTGGAGCTTCCTACTGGAAGATGGCATCAGTGAAAACAATTATAATGAAGCGTAATACTATAAGGTTAAGTTAAATTACTCACATAATATTGCCATAGATTTATCTAGTCTGTTACAAAACGTACCAACTATGCACAGAATAATAATATAAAAGTAAAAATACAAAAAAAAAAACAAAAGAAGAAAAGAAAAAGGAAAAAAAAGAAAAGATAATAAAAATGAAAAAATGAATCTCCGAAGAAAAATCGTAATAGATGATATATATATATATATAGTAATTGGTATTGAAAAATCTCGAAGTCAATTAAAACTCTGGATACAAAGGATTCGGCGAGACAAAATACCAATTATCTCGTGTCCTACGCTTCACTGGGTCTTCTCTCTTTCTCACTCTCTCTGTGCAGTCCATCGGACCATCCCTTACGTCGAATACGAACGTAGAGGTGAGCGGTCGAATCAGGGCGAGGGGTTTGAAGAGTGTTGATGGTGGTGGTGATAGTGTTGGTGGTGGTAGTATTCGCTTACAAGAACTCAATTCCATTAGGCATTGAAGTGAGTAAAACGAGGCAGCTTCATGTGCTGGATGGGCATCTATATAACGCACTCGCATCTCGCTTATCTACCTAATAAAGGTATTCCCTTCCTCTCCCTTTGTCGACTTCCTCGCCACCCCTCCTTTCTAGCTTCTCGCTGCGACATAAAGCGTGTGCCAGTGAGGTGTCTCCGCGAGACAATCCCTTGGGATGACAATGCTTACCCCACGTATGAATGCCACCAATGCTTCCTAGGTAATTTAAGTGTGTGGCTTTCTTGCTTTCACCACTACCCATCATCATCATCATCATCAAGACCACTATCATCATCATTATCATCATCATTATTATTATTATTGTCATCATTCTCATTCATTTTCTTTTTATTCTTTTTTATTAATCATTCAAAATCATCTTCTTATGAGAAAACATTCGAGTAAACTTTAAGTAAGACGTTGAGGGAGATCGTAGAATTCACTAATTAGGGATTGTTGAATTTCAGGTACATGCACAGGTGTAACGATATATTATATAATTATATATACATATATATTGAGAGAAGAAACACATCACTCGGATGAGTCCGATTATTCGTGCAACGTCGAACCCTGCAAATTAAGTCGATTGCTCGACCAACAGGAACGATCGAGACCGGCAAATGAAAGGGGTCGGGGCAAGGTAAGGGGAGAGGGAAGTTTTAAAGTGTTATGGGTTGGAGAATATTTCCTTCCTGATGTGCAGGATAGTGCGATAATCGCATCGAATTTCTGCTGATTATAGGCAATCGCAGGTCGGAAGATACGGTGCTGTTAGAGGGTGCGAACGATGTTGCATAAAAGCAGTTAGAGAGTGAGAGACAGGATTGGTCCATACCACGTCGCCCACCCCGATATGTACGCTCGAACGCGTTGCGTAATTAGCGACTGCCTCGCCGGTTTTGTGGGTGGGCGCGGGTGAAATGGGTGCTAGCAACCCCAGAACCCGTTCGAGCGACTCGCGTTCTGCCACGTGCGTTAACGCATCTACCCATCTACTGGGTGGTGACTTTTAGACGTAAGATGAAATACACGATCTAATTTAATTCTTAAACTTTGTGTCCAATTTAAATAACAAATTATATGTTTGTAGGAATTGTTGTAATTAATATAGTAAAAGAAAAGAAAATCATTTATGTAATTTAATATGAGAAAGAATTGTGATTTTTGTTTGTGAGTGAATTAGTTACGAAAAAAGAATATGATAATTAAATATATATTTGATAAAGATAAATTATATAGAATATATATTTATTTAAACGTTTTTAAGTGTTCAAGTGAAATAATAGATTTTATTGTTATCCCTGTTTACGACGCTAATCCCTTTCGAAACACCCTGTATGAAGGAAGGAGGTAAAAGGGAGAGAGGAAGAGAACACAACGTAGAGAGACTACCGAGGCGTAGACGCAATTAATGCAGAAACCCAGCACGGACGTCGAGGGAGTTTCGAGAAGGGCATCGCTATGCCGTGCCGTGAGACGTAATGACTAATTGAGATTGGAAAAGGGGGAATAATACGATCCGGGTGGTCACGGTAAAACGCACTCTTTCTCTCTCTCTTTCCTTTCCTTTCCACCAACTTCTCGACGTTGATGTTCTCCTTCATCAGCCTCAGAGCCCTTACCACCACCACCATCACCACCACCCCTTTTCGAGAATCCACTTTTTTCTCTCTTTAGCTTAGTTAGACGACAAAAGATCTCTCGCTTGCAGGCACAAAAAATTGATTTACAAAACTACAACAGATTTGCACTGCTGTCGTTTACCGATCTTCAAATCTTTTCTTTCACGCGATTATGATTCTCGATCGATTTTAATGAACTTTCTCTCTTTGAGACTTTTCTACTTTCTACCAAGTCTCCCTACCCCTTTTTTTCACTCGATAAATATCAGTTTTAATTTCTCTAAAGGATTTTAACTATATTTTTTTATTATTTTTATTATTTTCGTTGTCATAATTTGTTGAAGTCTATCATTTGTTCATTTCATTCATGTCCATGAGTCAAATTGGTTTCTTTGATTTATTTTATGAATAATTATGTGACACGATTTTTTAATTATAAATATTAAATTATACTAGCATTTACATTGTGTGTGTTTAATTGTAATTTAAGTTCATTTTATTCCCATGAGAAATGAAAAACCAATTAGGAAGATAAATAATTTCTCAACGACTCTACATGCAT